TGACTCTGTGCTTGTCTGTTTAGTTCTGTGTATAAATGGAATGTTGTGGAGATGACCCCTCCCTGTGCCGGCTGGTTCCTCTCCCTTTTCCCCTGGTCACTGCTACTCATGGAAGCAGGACCACTAAGGGACCTTCGATTAAAAAAAAAAGACAATAAAAAGACTCATTAATGAGATGTGTGTTTCAAGGTTGGGGCCCAGGAGACCTTAGGGAAGTGGGGTTCACTGGGAAAATGGTACTATCTCTATTCTCTGTACCCCATGCCCAACCAGCCCTTACACACCCTTATCTGGTTTGTGACTGGCTGAAACGCTCTTCCGATATACACCATTATTTCTGTTGGTGCTGTGATTGATGCCAGACTGGCTGTTGAAGGAGTGGGTATGTCTGCTGCTGGCTGCAGGGGTTCTCCAGCAGAAGTAATTTATGCCTCAATTGGCTGCTCTGTAGCTTTGCCTGGTTGGGCAGTGAGGTCCATCTGATACTCTGTTCTGTCCCCTGCCTGGGTGTGGGCTGATAGGCATGTCACAGGTATCTGTAAGGTTCGGTTTGGTCTGTCTTCCCTGGATGGCTGACTCAAATTTATGAGGGTCAGGTCCAGTGGCTGCTGTAAGAGGCCAAGTTGAGCCTTTGACCTGTAGATGTGGCTGGAGTCCGTTGAGGGTGGGGCCACCCAGGTGGAGCCCAGGACTTCAGACCCAGGTGTCTTAAGCACCGCCTCCCTATGTTTAACCAAGAGGGTGTTGCTGGTGCCTTTTGCCAGCATTGCCATGGGCTGTTTTCCAGCTTGTACTTTGGGCTTTCACCTGCCCAGCAGGCAAAGACATCCAAGAAGTCTGGCCCTAGGAGTGAGGTGAATTTGGAGTGCTAATATGGGGTCTCCCTAGTCACCTGAGCTGAGAAGGGAGGCTGCATCCTGACTTAGAGCTGGCTCCTTAACTCCTGGAAGCTCATGAGTGGTTCTGGGAGGAAGGACTAGGTCCTTTTTCTGGTTAGGAAACAGGTGTGGAGAACTTGGGATTCATCTTGGTGCTAGGGTTTATAGGGGTGGGGGCAAACCGGGAAGACTGTTCTGGGTGTCTTGCCTTCCCACAGGGAGCCTGCTGCCACTGGAGAGAGGGCTGAGGATGCTGCAGGGGTGCCCTCTGTGGTATCCCCAGGTTCTGATCTTGATACTGCCTTGGCAGAGGGTGTGCCTGGTGGACCCTTGAGCTGTGGGAAGTAAGGACAACAGGCCCCCTTGCTGCAAAACCAAGGTTTTTATTTGTGAAGGAGAACAGGCTGGGATCAAGTGAGCTGTGATTCCTTCAAGGCCACGGGTGAGGGTAGAGGCTGTCCTTCAGCCTGGTGGTGGGGGGATGTCAGGGTCCCTGGGGCTCTGCTGACCTGTGGCCAATTACAATGCCCATGCTGCCCTGTGTCTTGCAGGGCCTGGCACCTTTGGTGGTGGGGGGGTAGCGGGTTCGGGCTTTCCCTGGGAGGATGTGGGGCAGAGTGACGATGTGGCTAGCGGCACTGTGCTAGGGAAGGAGACATCTTGCTGGAGAGGGGTCTGGGATACCCCCGTTACTAGAGATCCCAGAGCAAGTTCTGGCTGCTCTAAGGTTCCCCCTTTAGGGCCACAAGGGTGTTCCGGAGAATCAGGGTGCTGGCCTGCAGAGGAGAAACAGGTCCTTGAAGTCTCCTGCTCTCTGAGTCAGTACCATTCTTTCTGCACGTTAGATGCCCCCTTCCTCCCCACGCCTCCGCTCTCTGCAATAACAGGTGCGGTTAACTGGGGCTTCTTACCAAGAAGGTAAGGGTCCTGAGCCTTAGCTGGGGCTACTCTCATGGATGGCCCCTCCTCACACCATGTGCGTGCACACATGCACACATGCACATGCATGCACACACCCACATATGCATACACACCTGCGTACACACATGCACGCATACCCTCGTGTCTGTGGGGGGAGGGAGGTTGGAGGTGGGAGGCGTCACAAGGGCCCGTGAGGGTGGGAGGGCTCACCTTGGCATGTTTGAGCTCCAGCTCTGCCAGCTCAATGAGATTCTTTCGAAAAGAGGAGACCCGGCGGGACTTGAAGTCCATGAGCTCTGGAGAGGAGGGGAAGGGGCATGGGGCCCTGGGCTGGGCAGGACAGGTGGCTCCAGGCTGGGGACTGCGGGCTCACCTTGCTTGGCAGAGTCGGAGAGGCGCTCGAAGCGTTGGCAGCACAGCTGCTGGTGGCTCTCGGCGGGCCGAACCTCCCGGTTCCTGGTGCGTGCCTTGTCCAGCGCCTTGTTGGCATTCTCATAGTCAGCCAGTGCCCGCAGCCGCCGGTATAGCAGGTCCTAGAACCACGGGCACAGGGTCACTGCTGCCCTGTCCTGGTCTCCAGGCGTGAGCACTGCTCTGGGGCTGCCTCTCACCTTGGCTGCCTGTGAGTCGCGCATGTAATACCTCAGCATGTCTGACAACTTCAGGTCCTCATCGGAAGCCACCCGGCCCTCCAACTTCTGCATCAGAAAGCGGGCACTGGGAAGGGAGCTTGTCAGAGGGGCAGCTAAAGGGTGGGAGGCGCCTCTTCATCTAAATATCCAGCAAAGAAGCCTTAGGTAACTGCTCCAGGTCAGACTTGGTGTTCAGGGGAGCAGGCCAGGGAAGGCTTCACAGAGGAAATGGCATCTAGTCTGGATCTTGGGGACCAAGTAAAAGCCAGACAGAGGGAGCTGAGAGCTTGGCAGCTGTGCAAGCCTGGGTATAACCTGGATTAAGCCTGGGTTCAGGGAGGGCACTTGGGCAGAGCAGGGAATGGAGGCAGAGGCTGGAGCACAAGAGGCTGAAAATGGAAGCTCGGGACTTTGGGCTTTGGGGCTTGGGGAGCTTCCAGAAGAGGCAGGGTCCCTGAAGGGCCTTAAGCAGGAAGAAATACAGTCTAACAGACATTTTAGGAAGATGGAGACACTCCAGTGACTTTCTTGGGGAAAGGGGGGAAGTGTGTACCCGGGCAGTGTGCTGGCAGCTGGGTGCAGCCTGCCAGAGGTTTGGACACACCCTGTGCCTCCCACCGGTCCCCTGCCACGTGTGTGTGTGTGCACGCGCGCGTGCACACACACACACACACACACACACGAGGCTGGATTCTCGTTTTCACCCCACCTCTTACTAAACTAGTCTGGAGTGTGAGCCCAGCTTGCCAGTGGGCCCAAATTATCACTGAACATCCCAAGATGATCCTGGAGCTCTTCCTCTGCAGGACTCATCTTCCCTCCAAAGCTCACCAGGAAAGAGAAGGCAGTACTTACCCTCAGCCGTTCAAAGAGCTCTGCCAATTTGAGGAAGCTCCTAGGAAACAGTGGGGAGGAGTTAGGGTTGGGGGCTGAGACACAGCTCAAAGCTCTCTGCCTCAGCCTCTCCTCAGGAATCTCCCTCTCCCCTTTCCCTCCCAACACCCTCCCCCAACAAGAGAGCCTACACCTCCCACCTAGAGCTGACAGTAGACATCTACAGAGTGACCCCTCATGGGAAGACATGGTATTACAGGCATTGGGAGAGGGTAGAGGTGGGAGGAGTCCTCACGTCCTTAGCTGGTTGACTTCCTGTGTTCCCAGACTGCTCAGTGCAGCTGAGATAGGGATATAATCGTCTGCCAGGCCTGTTGGGGAACAACCCCCATCAGAGCCCCTACATCTGCATGTCAAGCCCTGGTGCTTGTGGCATGCCCTGCTCTCTTCTCTCCCCCAAGGAGTTGAACCGCTGGGGAGAGGGGCAGGGGGATCCAGGACCCCTTGGGCCCTGCGTACACTTGTGGGAGCGCATGACGCGGTCGGCCCGCAGGCAGGCATCTCGGATACGGGTGTGATACTCCAACAGGAAGGTCCTCTCATGCTCAAAGAAGTCATCCACCTCCTAAGGGAGCCAGGCAGGAGCCCATTGACACTGGGTCACCAAGGAGCTTGGCAGCACAGGCACCCGGGGTTGGCAAAATCTCTTTCTAATCCAGGCCAGGCCCCACCACTGGCTTCCCTCCCACAGCCAGCCTGGGCCTCAGTCTGTGCTGTGGACTTGAGGCACTGGGTTGAATCTAGAGAGGAGCCCCAAGGGTTACCTTGAGCCCTGACATGCCAGTGATGAGGGCTTCATCCGCGGACTTCACGATATTCCTCAGGAACCCTCCCAGGAGCTCCTTCCTATTCTTCCCCCGGACACTCAGCTGAGGCACACAAGGAGGGTGTGATGGTGGGGTGGGCGTTCTCGCCTCCCAGCCCGTGTCACAAGCCACTCACGGAGCTGAGACACAGGCTTGGGCCCACTTGGGCCGCCTGTCCAGCCCTGCCAACCCTGGGGGTCTCCCGACCCAAGCTAGACTCCTGCCCCAGGGGTGATTTTAGGGATTCGGCCCAGCTCACATCCTGTCCATATTCCAAAAAAACAAAGAAGTTGTGGTCTCGGCGCAGGGTGGGGTGGGCCGCCAGGCGCTGCAGAAAGACTTCGTGCATCGCAACTGTCTTCTTAAAGATGGCCAGGTACTCCCTGCGAGAGCAGCAGCGGCTCACAGGCCCTGCTCAGCTCCCATCATCCTGCCTGTCCCCTTTCTGGGGTCAGAGGTCAGGGTTGCTAAACATTCATTGGGGGAATAGCTGGGGAAGACAGCTGGGCTCTGGGCATAGCGGGAAAAAGAGGTG